ATACTATATATATATATATATATATATATATATATATATATATATATATATATATATATATATATAACTTTCTTTCTTTGGTACTATAATCGAATCTTCTATCTTTATAAGTTCCCAACTGAATATCTAATTTATACATTATTGTTGTAAATTAGATCTATCTTCCATCATGTTTAAAGCTTTCTACTGTGACTCAGATCGATCTTCCTAATGTGACCTTCTTTATGCATCGACGATCTTCCCCTATTGTTAGTCTTTCTTACTTTGACACAGACCTTCTTTATTATAAATCATATTTTTTTTCTTCCTTTCCCCTCAGACCATGGCTTCTCGATCCAAGAAGCAGAAGCACAGTCTTTCATTTTTGTCACTGAGCATAGTTGGCATCGATTTATAACAAATTTGATTTCTTAGTTTCTAATGATTTTTATTAAATTATCTTAAATTTAAAGTTATAATATAATAAAAGGGATCTCATATCCCCTCTTTTCTCAATTTATGAGATTCATTAGATTCTTTTTCATCCTATCAATAGGGTAAATTTTTTCTTCTTTCTTTTTTTTATCTTCTAACACAAAAATAATAGCAAAGAATAAGATAATGTAGGTAGTAAACAACATAATACATAAAACGACTTTAATTATAAAAAAATAGAAAAAAAAAACCTACACACGTACCCAAATAATATAAAAGGCAACATACAAATTAAATAAATAATGAATGAAAAAGAGCATAATACAGATACATAAAAGTAAATACAAAAATAAGTATAGAAACCACATTATTATGTGACCGATAAGACATATATTTTGGTCCTCAGATGAGTCACCACTGATGTCACACGCCACGTCTCAACCAGTGTCAGAATCCGACGTCGCACGTCACCCGTGACACATGTCAAGCCAGGTTCCGTACCGAAACACTATGCGATATGACTATCCTAAGGGCTCAGGGTGGTACCGTCTAACACCGCTCAAGCATCCCCCAAGACGCCAGCTCGTCAAAAAAGTCATCCCATCCCATAAAGATCAACAGTCACCAAACTTAGGCACAACCAATCCTCGCACAATAGTATATAAACCCCTGACCGACGCCCGGTCAGGGGGAAGAAAAGAACTCGATATAAAAATACTCTACTGACTTGCTCGTCGGAGGAGCCAAAGTCGGGAAACACCCGACGAAGATCATTTTGCAGGAAGGCAAACACCCCCGAGTGACGTGCATCTCGACCCAAGAGATACCTTCCATCACACAAGGGAGAGCAAAGAGACGCCCGGATCTCGATTAACGCCGACCAACATTCCTTCTCGAGGGTGCAACCACATCATCATCCTACTCACTCCGTAAGAAGCTCCCGACGTCAACCCGCGGACCTAATCATGGTGACTCATCCATACTTTTATTCACTAACAGTGATATAAAAGATCAATTTCATACTATTTGTGGCAAGGCGTTTTAGATTCATTCCTTCATCCAAGGATTTAATCATATTTCCATTCGTTTTTTGTAATATATAAACGAAAAAAATTAAGTCAAAGCAATTTGGTCATTTCATTGATCCCATTCGACACAAAGCACTCAAAAGACGGAAACGCCCTCGCCATCTCATCCCTCTTTCGGCAGTTGTCGAGTCTATACTCGTAATTACGACAAAGTTTAAGGGCTTTGCAGTAATATTGCACCAGTGTCCGCAAGCCATCCGATTCATCTTTTTCTTGTGGCGGACTAAAATAAAAGGCGAAATAGGAAGCCATCGAGATCAAAAAGCTACGGTTTGTGTACGGACCGGTAGCATCGCATCGATCGATCTCGTCGACGGCGAGATGTCTACCTTCAGCGGAGACGAGACCGCCCCCTTCTTCGGCTTCCTCGGCGCCGCGGCCGCGCTCGTCTTCTCCTGTAATCCCTCTCCCCGTTCATCTTTTCGTCGATCTAGGTATGGAGTTTGTGGTTTTGACGAAGTCCTTCGGTCTTTTTAGGCATGGGAGCTGCGTACGGGACGGCCAAGAGCGGGGTCGGTGTGGCGTCGATGGGGGTTATGCGGCCGGAGCTCGTGATGAAGTCGATCGTGCCCGTGGTGATGGCTGGAGTGCTCGGGATCTACGGATTGATCATTGCTGTGATCATAAGCACCGGGATCAACCCCAAGGCTAAGTCGTATTACCTCTTCGATGGGTATGCGCATCTATCGTCCGGCCTGGCTTGTGGCCTCGCGGGCTTGTCCGCCGGCATGGCTATCGGGATCGTCGGTGATGCCGGAGTCCGGTATAGATCTTCTTCTGCTGCTTCTCGGAATTCCTACATTTTAATTTTTTTGTCGTTTTCGTGGATTCTTTGGATCATAGCACTTGTTGGTAATTTGTCTTCAAGGGTGCTTGTGCAATGCGTTGATATATGGAGGCATACGAGAACAAATACCGTACATTTGGTGAATAGCTTCGTCTGATTTAGGTGGATTGTAGGAGTCTAAAAATCTGATCTTTTGGATTGTAGTAGTCTACAAATATGATTTGCTTCTTTTGGTTTTAGGTGGATCGTAGTAGTCTACAAATCTGATCTTATTTGATCTACGCTTTAGACATATTAGCTGGCCTATATAATTATTTCATGATACGTAGTGCCCACTGAAATCAGGGAAGGCCATAATTAGGAGCATGAGTATTCTAAATTGTTCTAAAGTTAGCAGGCTGTTTCATCTGTTCTATGGCCACTATGGTCATTTGCTAATTTTGATTCCTAAATGGCATTTTCTATGCAAGATGCACTCATATTGTTGTCATCACTTTCATTTTTGCATAGACATAACCTTTACAATGCTATAGTTTCTGTTTCGAACGTACGGTCATTTGCTATTTTGCTGATTTCTTCTGTTGAATTAGATAGGTCCTTGAGCTTTAATTATATAGTCATTTATCTACCCTCGTGTGTAAGTGTATGTGTCAATGTAGGTAAATGAGTGATCTTTTGTCTTGCGTTCCATAAGCTCCTTTAGGTTTCTGCTGGTCAATTGAATATGTCCATGAGCTTTAGTTTTCAAGCCATGATTCTATTGGAAGATTGATTCTCTTTGTGCGAGCAGCTCGCTATCATTTCCTGGCTTTAGATTAAGTGTCTGATTGGTTCATATGATCCTTGGCCAATGCATTTGATCCTCATGAGATGTATCACTTTCATTATTTTTCTCCAGAACTGCACCACATTGAGCACTACTCGAGCACTAAATTTCATCGAAATGATGTTATCGTAAAGGTGGAAATGAGTGAGGTACACAAAGTGATGTTAGCAGAGAACTATCATATAATAGGTAAGTAGGGGCTAGGAGGGTAGTGAAACAAAAATTGAGGAGCTGATTATGATAAGGATACCGTTCGTTAGGATTGGCTGGGGTCCAATTGATTTTAACTGATTTCTTGTCTTATTGTGAGAAACCATCCAAAATCAATTTGACTCAACCAGAATTGGTCGAAAATTGGATGGATTGGCACAACTTGATTGATTTTGTTGACTCATAAGCTTTTTTCTTTTTCTCCTTTGCAATCCAATAAGGAGAAGATGGTTCATCTTTGTCAGACTCACCTCATCAGAAACCAGTGGCTCATTCCCTTGCCAATGTGATTTGCTGTTATGTCACTACTGCCTCTGAACAGGTACTTGAAACAGATTGTACTCTGAGTTAACCTTAACTGAAGTGTCGAAGACAACTTTCCTCGGTACGATGACAGTAGGAAATGTATTCTCCTCTCAATATGCTCTTCAGGTATCTCAGACAAGTGGTTATGACTTAGATATCTGATATTGTGGATGAAGTGGGTGGTAATTTACTATCAGTATCTTCTTTAGAGTTGACCTATGCTCCAACATATGGTTGTGATTTTGCTCGAGAGACTATTATTAGATTTTATAGATCTAACTGGATTTTGATTAAAGTTATTGACTAATGGAAAAGAAGCTTATATCTTAAGAAATCTTAGAAGATAATCTTGATGGGAGAGACTCTCTTAATTATCATTTCCTAGGCCTTGTACTCTCGCTTATATAATGATAGGACCCTAGGAATCCCATAATATCATTTGAGATCTTTTGTCTCACCTCCCTGATGGATCCCTACTACATCAATGTCCTGAGAAAAGTAGCAAGAGAAAAGAAGAACCCAACTTCTTCCTATGTAGATCTACGTGTGGAACATCATGACGATCAAAATATCATATTTCAGAAAGTTACACATCATATTCTCGATCTATGATAATTTAGATTTCATTCGTTGCTTAATTGTATTCTACATGATATTTTAAGGACCTTACTATTTATAGTCTCCTTCTTATGATTTTCAATCTTTTAAGAAATTATTAAAATAATAATTTACTATTCATAACCCCTATAATTTTGCTTTTACCATTTTTTTTTTCTTTTCTTCCTTCCCCACGGCCCTCATTTGTTGTGCCCTCTACTGTCGCTAGCTCTCCCCATCTCCCGTGCACCCTATTGGACAATTTCCAAAGGCTCGGAACATGAAATCTTCTGAGTTAATGTAACTAACCTAGAAGATTCTATCTTTTGAGCTATTATAGAATGTACATAACATTAAATCAGTATAATAAACGTCAAAAACTATTTCTCACCTCCTCCTCTTTGATCTTCAGTTTATGCATTTCATCATTTGTCTTTTTTTTCATCATCTTATGTCATTTCCAACGATTAAGAGAAAGGGAAAAAAAAAAAGGGAGAAAAAGAGATTGTGAGTAAGAAGTAAACAGATTTTATTAGAATTAAATTATAAATTGAGGGTATATATGTCTATTTGACAAAGGAATAACTTAGGAATATTCAAAATTCTTAACATGGGGTTGTAAATAACAAAAAAAAAAAGATGTGCAAATAGTAATCTCCTATTGCAATCTTACAACCATTTCTTTGTTCTTTTCCCTTTTTTATTTCATTTAATTGGTTACTTTAATTGTGTTTTTCCTGAAGCATGTTCAAAATTCTGTTGATGCAATCTAAATCAGTTTCTAGCGTGCTGTATATTTAATAATCTATGCAGTCGATTAATTTTGAACTTCATTGTTTGATGATAAGTGGCGTTTTCTTTGTTTCAGGGCCAACGCTCAGCAGCCAAAGCTATTTGTAGGCATGATTCTCATCCTCATTTTTGCCGAAGCCCTTGCGCTATATGGCCTTATCGTCGGCATCATCCTCTCCTCTCGTGCTGGCCAATCTCGAGCCGAGTGAGAAACAAAAGTTGTATGTGTTACATGCTCATTTTCTATTTATATCAAACATCAATTCTATGTTTCCGCTGTACTTGTCACTAAAGATTCTTTCCGTGTTATGGTATCCAAAATGTATCGAACTCTTGACGATTACGTCTGACAAATAATTAGCACCCCTATCTTAACTCTTAAGCTAACCTGTCATAAAGTTGAAGTTAATCTTCCATCTGTAATAATAGTCACAGAGATTTAAGCTACAGTTTCTAAGATTCCATCAAGAACACATTGTAAGAGGATGTTAGCCTCCTCCCACAGACCTGGCACGTGGGTGGCGACCTCGCCTGTCAGCCACCTATGTCGAGTCTGTGGGGAAGAGGGCACATATTATTAGAAAGTATAACCTGTGCCATGTCATCCATTGTTGCAAGACTAGCTAGCTCTGCTCTACGAAGGTGGCAACATGCTGCCAAAATCCTTTTTTTTATTAGCAACCTCTTTTCTATTTATTCTTTTTTTTATTAGCATCCTTTTTCTATTCATTCTTTTTTTTTTTAATCAGCATTCTCTTTTCTATTTATTCCCAGAGAACATCCATTGACTCTACAAGGTGAAATTGGCCTTGGTCTCCGCCCCACCTCTTTCTTGTCATCCCTTGTTATTGATCTCGCTTGCACACCTTTGTCCTGCAGAATCATTCTCGCATATGCATTCTAGCTCTCGATGGGTACAGAGTTAAGAGTGTCTAAGTGAGGATGATGACAAGCGAGGGACGATAATGAAAACTAGGGTGCAAAATTAAAAATCATGCTGAGGACAAACAAGAAAAAACAATAACGGAAGCATACAGACCAAGATGGGACGTAGATAGACGACCGAGAAGGCTTAAGGCCAAGAGCAATTTTATCTTCTAGGATATAAAGCATGCATGCTTTACGAGAATAACGAAAAAAAATACTAATAAAAAAAAGTGAAAAAAAAGGGGGTCATTTTGAAGTAATGATCTTTCATCGCTGGCCTTTCGTAGCATTGTTTCTGGAGCATCATTCACAGAGAAAAAGAAAGAAAAAAACAGAAATGGCCCAGCTTTGTCACTGTGTAAATAGGTGGTAGGTGCAGCTCAGATTCACGGTAAATACATAAAATTTCTAATACGTGGTAAATAGGTGCAGCTCTACGCACCTCCTCTCTTAAAGTAACTCAGATTCACGCATATAAATTTGCAAGGTCATCAGCAAACGCCTTCCGAATAACTTCTCTCTTGAGCTTGAGTGCAGCAGTGACCAGACCAGATTCCGGGGTCCATGGTTCAGGAAGCAACTTTATCTTGGCTGGAGTCTCAAACTTATCTAATTTTGCTTGTTTTGCTGCCTGTAAAGTAAAATAACACAACTAATAATCAGTCCACTGTTTTCTACTTGTATCAAGACTATTGATTGAGCTATTAGAATCAAATACCACCCGGTATATACATTGTTTGTCCAAGTTGTCCGGATGGACCTCATGGGCATCAGAGTCGAGAGTTACAGATTCAATGAACTCGATGATCAGCTACAAGCTGATCTTATATTATATGATGGAGCCTTCCAATGTGAAATCACATGCATTAACTTGAAAGGACCATAGGTTGCAAAGAACCAACCAGAATAAGGAGAGAGGGCTTACAATTTCTACATGTGAAAACAACATTCTATGATCGTTTCAGATCATGAAACTATATAAGAATAGATATTTCGACAAAAATTTTTACCGTTCCAAACACAAAGACATCTTTTGGTAAACAGAATCAACCAATCAGAAAATATCTTCCAAGAAGGTGAAGTAGATGAATCACTCAGGTAGAAAAAGACAAAACTTGCGTATGTATCATAGATGGAAGGGCAAAAGGGACACCAACCTTAATCAATGACCCATGCACTTCTTTCACTGTTTCCTCTTTTTGGCACAGATCTGAAAAATCACTGTAACTTATTTCTCGCTTTAAAGCCCATTCTTCTAAGGCATGGGGTGCAGCAACAACAAGTGCCACACAGAAATTGTGAAAAGGATCAGCGTGCAGCATGATGTTGTCCACATAGGGGCTCACGATTAGAGCAGACTCAACCTGAGAAAGAGAAGGTAAGTTTGCTAAAACTGAAAATTAAACCAATAGACATGAACAGTCCTACCTTTCCAAGAGAGACATATTCACCATGCTGAAGTTTCACTATATCCTTTTTGCGATCAATGATCTCTAGGCAACCGTCAGGGTAAAATCTTCCAATATCGCCAGTGTAAAACCACCGCATTCCTCTCTCATCAACCTTTTGTCAGTTGGACATCAAGGCACCTGATTAGTCTCAAACAGACCATGTTTAAGGTAACAAGCAATATTTAAAGTGCCAACCTTGTAAACTTCCTTTGTTTTCTCTTCATTCTTGAAGTACCCAAGTGTAACATTTGGACCACCAATAACAATCTCCCCACGAGGCATTGGTGAATCTGTAACTAAATATCCACCTTCTGCCCAATCAATCAACTGATATAAAAAAACAAATAACAATATGTAAGAGATCATTTAAACTTAAGGTAATATAAATTAGTCATTGACTATCCATAAAAAACCTCATATGGAGATCTATGTAAATATATGGACACATGTTTTCTTTTTCTAAAATAGTGATGCAAAAGAATAAAATACCTATATATATATATATATATATATATAGGAACTTTAGAACCCAACAGTGCTAGCAACTTCAAAGTAGCTAAAGAGGATAAGGATACTGTTGAATGTTTTAGTAATTATTAATATATAAATTTGCTTGTATCTAATGCAGAAGAAGATTTCAGGAAAGTATCTTTTCTGAACCATTGAGGTTCTACTTGACTTTGATACTAGAAAATAGTGCAAAATAACATGGACATTGTGGGAAAAAGGGATTGGTAAAGGGTACAAGCCATCACTAAAGATAGCAGCAAAGCATAAGCCAACAAGAAACCCTATGTGCATTTGATAGAACAATGAATTCTTCAACAATCATGGTTATACGGTACAGAAATGTTAGAGCCCTAACCTAAAGAATAATAACTGATGCCATGTTATATCAATAGAAATAATCTTAAAGTTGCAAGATCTAATAGAATTATAAAAGTCTAAATTAGTTCAGCATAGGAGTTCACTCCAAAGTTATCACTTTAAATAGACAAGAAAAAAAAAGTTGTCTGAGAAGGTATAAAATAATTTACAGCATAAAAAAATGAGCCTAGGTGGAACAAACTGTAGATAGAAAACCCTCAAATTTCATTAGCAAAGCAAGTGTGTGATGACAAGGTTTTCATACGCAAAGGTTAAAAGAGTAAGCACCAGGAATGAGGTTACATCATGCATTCGGGTAAAAAAGATTGTAGCAAAGACTAAAGATAACTACACGGAATTCTGAAAGAACTTTTCTTCATAAACATTGACTTCTATTGGCAGCCACAGTAGCATATCTGAAGTGTTAATATCATGAATAGGTGTACAAAATTTTATGCGGTTAGTAAATCAAACTTTGTAGTAACATCAATGCCATGGATGGCTATTGTCCACAAATCTATAAAATTACAGAAAAATTGTTATTAACTGCAACTAAAAGAATAATCTTAAACAAGCACTCTGAAAAATTTTGCAAATAAAGATAAAAAGGAGCAACAAGAACAACATTACATCTGATTTTAGACAAAAAAAAAAAAAGAGGTGATATATCACACCAGTCAAACAACCAATGTCCTCAAGGTCTTCACTTCTCATAACAATGGACTAGTTTACTCTTTATTACCTTGATATATGAACATGGAAGTGGAGCACCAACACGACCAACAGAAGTGTCATCATATTCGGAAAATGTTCCACCAGCACAAGTTTCAGTCAGACCATATCCTTGTCCTATTGGAGCCCTGGCAGATATATGAGAAGGTCAATTACAAGGTTTAAGGCATTCAAGCTTCTACAGATCTATAGATGTCTGTAAAATGAAACAATTCATAGCTAAAGAATCAAATGATCTACAACAAAGAATAAATATGTTGTGTGTTTACAAGGGTCAACTTCATTTGCAGTCTCAATAGTTCCTTGCCATGGAAAATTATTTTGGTTAATATTTCTTGATGTATCTTTACATCTCTTTCGTTTTTTTATTTACTTATCAAATATCAAGGAATCCGATATTATTTGGACCAAGGATTTTAATTTCGAATGATACCGCCCATACTGGGTAGTACGTACCAGTCCACCAGTAGACCAATACTCAGACCGCCTGCTATCGGGCGGTATCAGCCTAGCTGCGACGAGGGAAGAAGAAGGGTCGAGGAAGAAGAGGGAGAATTGGGGAAACCTCGACGCTTTCCGATTCGACACCACCCTCCCTCAACAATCCTGATCCAGGAGGTAACGGAGAGGCAGCAGCTCGGCTTCTTCTTCGCCGAAGGCTGGAGACGCCTATGACCTTTGCCACGTTCTTCGTTGAAGGCCGAAGACGTCTGTAACCTTCGACACCTTCGCCGAACGCCATAGACGAGGAGAAGATCGCACTCTTCTCCTCATCTGACCTGACAAGGAGAAGAAAAGGAGGCGACGTCGCCAAGGCAACGTATGCCTCCTTTTTAAATTTTTTATATTATATTATAATATATATATATATATATGTATATATATATATGTATATATATATATATATATGTATATATGTATACACACACACACGTGTACCGAGTGGTACACCCTAGCATAACGCTCGATACGCCTATATCGTACCGTACCGAGCAAAGCTCAAAATGTCGGTACGATACGAAATTACGATCCTTGATTTGAACCAATATGTACCTGCCCATATTTAACAATCCGACCAAAGACTGATACTTGATCATAAAGGGCAGTATTTATTTACTTTTTATTTTTGGTTAATGGACTGAAACCTCAAACATTGGTACTTGTACAAGAAATCTAGAACTCAGAAACAATGGATTTTTACCATACTTTAAAAATGTGTTGCTATCAATGATATTAAATTAAAGTTTCAAATCTCCAAAATCTCAAATCCAATAACACTAAATCTAAAAATTGCAATTGGTTTTTTTCATTTATAATAATATAATGTATTTTGATCCACTTGAATGTGAGAATGGCTTTTGCTATCTAAAATTATCATATGAATCCACAAATTTGATCGGATAAGCAGACATACTTATATGTGGTTAAGAAAAGCCATGGCTTTTGGCACAGGAAAAAGAATATTTTGTCACAAACTAGCATGTCTAGGAATTATTTTGAAGAAAAAATCTCAAAAATCGACTTTTAATCCAAGATGCCACTCATGCACTTCTATGCTTTAACATCCAGATGCCACACTAGAATGAATCAGAAAACATTTGCAGCACCATGTAGTAAAAAATTATGAATAATTTCAAAGTAGCCTATGTAACCAAAAACTTCAGCTAGTTTCTTGTATATTTTGGGTATGAATAAATTGCTAAGACACTCTTTTAACTTGTGTTGCTATCTTTACTAGTGAAACCTGCAGGTCTATCAAGAAAATTTGGTTGATAAATTCGACCAATGGAATTTAGAGCCTGTTTAGATTTCATAAATGACCAACATCAAACTCAAAAAATTATTACTACAGGAAATATTGACCTTCTAAAACTTGTCTTTCAAAAGTTATTGTATGGTTTGTCAAGAAAGTCAAGAATGAAAACTTATGCTTTATAGTTTATTGTTTCAAGTACTTAATTGTCTGTAATTCAAAGTAATGGTAAAATGATCATTGGTCCCACCATTTAGTTGGCAGAAATCTTGAGTTAAATAATAAATCATAAATCAAGCAAAGATAAAATGACTCTAATATAATATCTTTTAGATGTTACATCACAGTATTATCTAAAATTCTGATACGTGAGGATGTTATACTATATTGGAGTTATCTATGTACATCACCATAAAACAACCTTACATTCACTATACAATTTCTTCTATATTCTCAGGAAAGTCAATATGTAAAAACGTTACTAATATGTATTAGTCCTTAAACTATCAAATTTGCAAGTTTGTCCCTCATCAAATTTGCAAATATCAGTTAGGGGATTGCAGTTTATCCCACCTCCATCTTCTGACTCCTTTGATGATTGGTCCTATCACACTTCAAAAATCACAGTGGTCAAAATTTCAAAATTTCAAGCAAAAGTAAGCACCAAGCTAATTTTCAACAACCAAACATTCCAAAGTAAACAACTTCCCAGAAGTATCATTGTCAAATGTCCACTCTCAACCAAAATAGCCTGCCCTCGGTAAAAAATATTTAAACAAACTCAATTTCATATATTTACAGGTTGACACTCATTTAATACTCTCAAAATCAATTTTGCTTTGTCTGGTGAAGTTAAAGCATCAAGTCCATCTAGCTAAAACTGAAGTTTCATACTGGAGTCCCACTAAAATGTCAAGCATTACCATCACTCAAGTTAAATGCTTTCTGAACAAATGAGAGACATAAGGACACCAATAGTGGAAGGTTATTAAAGAAAAACATGTCGGAAAAACAATTGAACTAGCTTTTTTAACTTCAATGAGAAGTTTAAGAAGCCAATAAAACTAATGAAGAAATACAACTCAAACAAAATAATGAGTTCAACATTTGAATGTTGCATCATATATAGAATGGAACCCAGAGTTATCCTATTAACATAATACAGAAACCAGAAGTGAGAAATTAAAACACACTTCTCAACTACACTATGGTGTCATTTCCCATGTATTTCTCCACTATAGTGTACAGTGACATTCAAGCATCCAACTGACTGGTAAACAAATATAAATCTTCTACAAATTAGGTGACAGATATTGACTACACTCTCAGTCTAGAATGAGGTAGAATGTTAGGTGACCAAGAGATGTTCACAGAATACATATGTACATCAATTAAAGGATTTAATAAGTTTGATCATCAAAATGTATTTTTAGAATTCAGAAAAAAAGGTTTGTGCAGCACTTTGTATGTATGAAGTGGCAGAGGAACTGTCACTCAGATATCTTAACAAGCATAACAGCATCTGTGAAACCTACAACAGAATCAAAGCAGCTGCAACTGCATCTATGCATCCAGGACTTAAAAATTCAGGTTTATTTTACTTGTGTGTACCGCAAAGAAATGATATAAAGGTTATACTAACCCGAGACATATATTGATAAATCTTTGAGTATCACCAGATAAAGGAGCACCACCGGAGAGTAGAAATCGTACATGTCCTCCCAAAACTGCTCGAACCTTTCTAAAGACAAGCAAATCCCACAAAACTTTTTCTAAACCCCATGCTCCAAACCAACTTCCATTAATAGCAGCTAACCTACGACCATATGCAACATCAAATAATTTCTTCGATAACCCACCCGTAGCACCAACCTGAAATGCATTAAGAACATAATACAAGATAATTAGTCTCATGGAAACCATGTCAAAGAAATTATGATATTCTATGCAAGGAAAAGTCAAGACCTTTTTCCGCACACCATCACGGACACGATCAAGGATAGCAGGGACAGCAGTCATCAGTGTAGGTCTCAAAACTGAAGCATCACCTTTGGTTCCTTTCTTTATCTTGTTTGACGTATCAGTGAGAGTCAAAGGTGATCCATATCCTATAGCAATCCCTGCAGCAACCATTACATTCTGCATATGAATTATACACAAAATTAGTACTGAATCAAGAACAGATAAATGAAACTAGACCGTCAGCAAGTTATGATGTGGATCCTGTTTAAATTTAGAGGTAAACATATCTAATGCCCCGCACCTCTGCAGCCAACTCAAGAATATGGGCTAGTGGCAGGTACGCCATGTATATATCTTTAGTCCCAATGGAAGGAACAATAGTCATAACAGCTGAAACTGTAGCTAGAACATTGCGATGTGTCATCATTACTCCCTGCATGAAAACTGAAGGAATTATAAAGGGAATTGGCATAAGATAAGCAACACACAAAATTTCTGAGACATCAACAAACAACATTCTAAATTTAATAATGAGACCACAAATCATTAGCACAGAGGTAGTGTGTACAATGATATATATGCAGGTACATGCAATGTAAACATACACTGCAGATGTATCAGTAGAAAGCCGGGAGTATGCTTCATAAGTGTCTTCATTGGTTTGTTTATGCCTTTGTGTGTCTGCTGGTGGCAATAGTTTTTCATTTTGTTCCCCTCCTAGGTTGTTCATCTTGTGTTTTGAATCCTTTAATTCGAGGATTTCCATTGTCAGTGACTTTTATATCAATCATCTAAAATCCGCAGGTTTAGATAAGTCAATATAAAATCAAATTACTTCTATCACCACCATATTTGAAGTAAGCTATCATATCAAATTTTGGTTTTTCATTTAATTCAAAAACCTGTGATTTTATTTATGATGGCCAAATTTGCATTTATTACATTGTCGGGATTCATGCTTCTGTTCTTCTGTAATTCTATCCTATATATTAATGTAGGGAAATTTCAACCAAACCAATGCAAACTATTATGATGCACAATTCGTCTGATTCTAGCAAAACCAATATGGAGTTTTACTACATCTATCCGACGCTCAAATAACCATGGTTGGCGTAGTCATAAAAACCAAACTGGACCAATTGTTTGGATCTGAAAAACTGAGAACCAGAAATATCAACCGGTCTAGTCCACTTATTAGATCAATTTTGTTCAAAAACTGAAATGAATTGACTGGAGATCAATAAAACTCCAACAGATACACTTGTATACCAAGATATCAAATTAAGTGGTCTCCAGCAATCCTGACTGTCCATCCCAAACACAAGGAGAAGCCAACTAGTGCTTTGAAGTTGTAAAGGTTGATTTTATCTCAATAGATTACATCGAGAAGTACTATTTTAATGATAAAAATTAGACTACATATCATTTATTTTTTAAGGAATTAAAGTCAAGACTTTTCAGAAAGGATCTTTGAATAATAGGATGGAACAAGATTCAAAAGAAGTCTAACAGATACCACACCTGTCCCTGTCAAGAGTGGACAATATCTCATGTATGGCTCATGAGAGTATATGACATATGCCCTGTTACATGGCAATAACTCACCTAATGAAATAATAATAGGTGAACTTGTAGAAAACTATAATGCACAGAAAGATAAGCCACTTGATATGGGCATGTCAAGATCAGATCCTAACATATATCAGAGTTAGTTCCAGACTCCATTCCTGGAGGTATGAATAAAGAACAATACTGGGGGATCGGATAGCATTTGAATCGAAAGAACTCAACAAAACAAATGCTACCATTTAGTATGATCAATTTTATGGCATAAACCCCTCAGTTGCCACAATTGTACAACAACAACAACAAAGCCGCTTGTGTATTGAGGACATGCAGGCAAACTGCAAAAGACAAAGCTTAGGCCAATGCAATTGATAGTAATAACAATACTTATATATGAGTTCAACAAACCTTTGGTAGACCAGTGCTACCGCTTGTGTACATTATCACAGCAATGTCAGCTGCAAGAGGCAGAACTGCATCCACAGGCTTTTCCCTGCCCATTGTCTCTACTTCACCAAATGATGCAATCATCCAACTGGTACTCTTCTTGGCCAGTGAAACCTCACTTGAAACCCCATCCTCATCGATATAAATAACACGTTTTACAGTGTCTAATTGTTGACTTATATCAATCAGTTTTTTAAGTTCCTTATGTCCACAAATTACAGTCGATGCCTCTGTCTGGGTCAATCGAAAACCAAATTAATAAGCGAGAGATTGAAACAAAATGATCATCTCCATTGACAAGAAATACTAAGAAACAAAATTCATACATAACCACATTGTCGAAATAATGCTGTATTTATTGTTAGGATTATAATATGTTTAGTATATTTTCAGGTCATTGTGCAGTATAATTGTTCACTAAACTGGCTCATTAAGATATCAAAAAAATTGCAAGATCAATAATAAGAAAGAACTAAGCATAATTTAAAAAATGCTAGATCCTACCAAGAACTAAGAAAAGGATGAGATGATCAAATCTAAATTTTCTTGCACCATTTTGTATTTGCTCAGGGGTTTTGTCCACCAAGCTAACCAAGAAGTCTGAGGTGCATAAGCATCCTTCGAAAAGGAAGAGATTAGAAGATGTGATTTGGAATTTCATAAAAATGGCATTTCTTTTGAGCAATTTCAAGAAGCTAAAATGATGATCTTTCATTCAGTTCACACAGGTAAAGAATTGATCATTCAAATTTCAGACAAATGTACATCAAATGCTGCAGAACCACTCAGAAATACTGGGTAACTTTATTGTAAGCTGTGAATGTTCCCCCCAGTCAAAGACACTAGTGTCAGAGACTCAGAATGAGATAGCCATTCTAGACCTATGTATTTCAAGTTAAAAAATTTAGTGGTTACAGATTAGTCATCAAGGATACAGAAGTCATCCAGATCAAAATAACGCCATGTAAAGAAAGGAGATTATCACTCCCCCCATCTAATCTTACACAAGTAATTCATGTAGAAAATGCAATTTGTATCATCAGCATGGTTACCCGTGAGGATGAAGAAAAAGATTGATGGAACTGAATGAACTTAAGTAGGGTCACTTCACACAATATAAATCTACATTTTATGCATCATAACATCACTTAAGAATAACCAGCTACTGTTCCATATGTTTGCACGGTGTGATCCAAAATCTTAGTGTGGTTTGACCTCAATGCTGAAAGTAGTTGATTGCATGTTCTAGATCGTAAATGAACTAAAACGGAAGATAGAATAATAGCTACATTAATGAAAAGACAAAGCCCAAACATCGCAAAAGCCATCTCACGAATAGCTTATTGCAGCATAAGAAATCAGAGATGCCTCCTGACTAATAGATCATAACTAATTCTCTACAGATAGAAAACCTAAGAACAAAATAATATATAGAATATCGTCTCTTTGTTAACTTAAACCATTTCCTGACATTGAACCCTATAAAAAGCAATATCTCAAGTTAAATCGGGAGTACTCATATCTCTTTTAATCATTTCTACTTTATAATAAAGTCTTCTCTTGTCACGCCACTAGTATTAATTGAAAGTTTGAAACCACAGTACTTAAACATGCCTGCACCATCTGAAGAATTTTCTCTCACTTTACCTTCTATTGGATGCTTGGAGGCTTGGAGCCACACCTAATTGTTCACAATTTTTTTTTTATCCTACATAGTAAATTTTTACCTCCACCTCAACATTCCCATCTATAACCAATATAAGTTCACAAATTTTTAGACCCTTGACACACGAATCAATTAAACATGGTTGGCCTAGCAACTTTTTATGAAATATATCTTTTAATCTAAAAGACACTCAACAATCACAAAAAATCCAACACCCCTCTCCACTTTAACCACTTAAATTTTACTCTATGAATATATTAATCAACTTCTCTATTTTATTTAAAAATACATCTAAGATACTTAAAACTTACTTGTAAGAACTTGCTCACCTAGCTAACTACATCCTCAGACCTTTTCTTAATATTAGTAAAATTATATCTTGCATACTCAGTTTTAAGAATACACTAAGCAATCACAAGAAAAACATACCAAAGGAATTATATAAAGATGAAATGCCTGGTAGTCATTTTCTACAAGACTAAACTGTAGAATTATTAAAATCAAATAAGAGGAAAACAATGATTTAAATGTAAATAAGCCTTGAAAGATCAAACCTCATTTAGTGAGTGACAAAGAGCATCCTCCCCCAATGAAGCATATATCGTAACAACTGTGATATTTTGCCTGAAGCAACCCTGTGTTATGAAAATAGACCAAATGTGTTAGGGAGCTAACATACAATCTTTTGACAAGATATAAAACAAAAAAAGGTGTGCAGCTTCTTTTACCATAGTTAAATGCTATAGGTAAGACTTTAGCATTTAGTATTAATTATTAAGCAACTGTTACAGTTCCAATATCAAGATAATCATCAACAGCTCAAGACACATAGATCCTTTTAAACAGATGACATGCTAATCTCATAGCTCACCTATTAATTTCCCATTTTTAAAGCAAAATTATGATCAAAATAAGCTATCTAATCTATATTTTTATCTCCAACAAATAAAAATTTCCACTATGATCAACAGGAGGACAACATAGGTTGAGCATCGTGCAGCATGAACATGTTCCAGATGCAACAAATATTTTCTTTCCAGATAAGAAAAAACACCTGTAAAGCAATGAACCATTCGGCTCGTGTATCAGCAAAAATGGCAATCCGCTCATCTTTTTTGTGGCCAAGTTGCACTAGACCAGATGCAAAACTGCAGACAGCTCTAAAAGCCTCCCCATAACTAACCCATTCATAGCTTCCCAGATGAAGCTTCTCAAAGGATCTCCCATCTTGGCTTACTTCAATTGCCTTTGTTATAAGCTTTCGAGATCCAAGTAAAGGCCTGTATGCGAAGCATTTGCAGGATTGCTCAAATAGCTCAGCCAGCGTCGTAACCCCTTCCCAAAGAGACTCCACTGGAGAAGTAAATCGGTAGTTGCGAACTGCATATCCAGGCTCTCCACCAACATCCACAGGCAACCCTCTTTTCTTTCCATTATTCGATTTTCGGAACATAAGTGAAGCTATAAGTGGAACAAAAATGCCAACAATATACGGATTCATCCTTGGAGAAAAGCAAATTATGTGTGACCCAATTCTCAGAAAGTGCAGAATCTTTCAGAGGGAATAGCCCCACCCAACCTGTCATTTTGTTATTTTCAGAAGAAAAAGCATCTATAACATCAATAATCAAAACATTTAGGTAAATTCTTGAAAGAAACAAACTTTCGTTCATGAAATTTTAAAAAAAAATCTAATTAATAATAAGTAAAATGGCTCAATTTTTATCATGTTTATCCCTCCGCTAAACTGCTAACATCATCATCCTCTTTTATGAGGATTGTATTCGGCACATATTCATAAACAGAAACATCCTATACAAACATTATAAATTCACGAACTAAAATCATCAAAACAGGAAAGAAACATATATGAACTTCTGGAAGTTCTTTCCGTCAAAAATCTCCCCATTCCCTTTCACAGGGAATAACACTTTCTGTCATCCTTTTCGGAGAGAAGAGAAAAGACATCAATTCGAAATCCATCTAGACCACCACCAAGCACACATGATCGCGGGATAAAAAAGGCCACATCAAACCCACAATGGTTCATGTGATCGGATCGGTGTTCTCTTATTGAAACAAATTTTGCCGAGAAGGTAGCAAAGCGACCGTAACAGAAGTGCGCACCTCGTAGGCAGCAGCAAAATGCAGAGAAGAAAAGCCCTATAGCAGATCAGTTGGGGGGGGATTAGGGCTCGGAGGGGCTCTTGATATGGATGGGTGTAAGGAAGAGGCCGTGAAAGGAGTGACGGCGGAGGGATCGAGGATTTGTGCGGCGGAGATCTCAGAACGCGAGACGACGTCAATTTATTGAGGCCTTCTGGGTTTGATGTCGCTCAGGTCCTCCCTATCTTCTCATTCGCTGACGGATCCTCCTAGTCTGTAATCGTTTCTGCTCAGATATCTTACGAAGGCCGAGCTGTACTCTCAGACTCCACGAGAATTAATTGCATCAGCCCCAGCCATATTGACCTGTTTAAAGCCTTTACCAAATATATATTTATATTTGTATACACATGAATCATATAAAACTTGACATTGTATATTTTATTGGAAGACAGCAAAAATAATAGAATATATTCTTGATCCATGATCATTGCTCGAAACTTAATTAATGATCTCCGATGTAGATGGGCATTAGATCTATGATGGACCATACAAGATGGTGCTTGTATTAATATATTTTGGACCAGGTTTTTATAGATTTTATGAGTCTTTTCTAGAAAATATCATTTTTGAATATTAAAAGGATTATATAACATAAAGTGAAGAAGATAGATAATTAAGATTTTTTTTATTTTAGGTTTTTGGAGTTGAAGGTAGTATGGCGTTAGAGATGAGTTGGCCGAATCAAGCTAGATTAGTGGAGGGTAGTAGTTGGTCTGCACACAACCCCACTAAATGCTAGAGCAAATCCTTCTATATGGAATTAGAAATCGGGTGAAGTGTGGACCTTAGTATAAATCGATTGAAGTTAGGTTTAATTAGGATTGATTGATTGTGTTGCGATGATTTTTCCTTGGATTAAATCTTGGTCCTGGGTAGATAACCTAATCCGGTTCCCCAATCATAAACGTACCGGTGTTGGAAAAACAAATGCAATTTGGTCTGACAATTGACCACCCCATCTCAACTTATGGGCCAAAATAATTTATCATTTTAATATAACATTCGGACGATCGATCGATCGATCTTACGAATCAAAGATCTAATTAATTGTTTCGATAAATCATTATATGATGCATCATCTAACCTCTCGCATTCTCTTAGACCCTCTACCTATACCTAATAGTTGAATATTCTATTCTGAATCTTCAGAATCCCTTAAGTATTGGGGAGACATGCTCAACACAATTTTTGTGAGACATACCCCCAACATAGTTTTATAGAACATCCAATCCGATTGAACTCAAGACTACTACTGAGGCTCACGACGTATTTGAAAGTTGGACACACGAGCTCCCAATCCTCTCCTACTACACATTACACACCAAAATATGCTTTAACCAAAAATAAAAACACAAAAAAAAAACTTATAGATGGCCCGCCCCATGAGTAATTTCCCAGTGATGCATTAACAATAGGCTATAATTGGTCAAATTACGTCCAAGAACAGATGATGAGGTAACACAATCAAGATTAAACAAGACCCATGCATGTTTCAGGTGGCCAAGTTTGTTTGAGCAAGAATTGGTCCACAACGTGAAACATAAGCTGTAGTGGCTTCCTAGAACGAAAAATGGGGATGAGTCAAAGCATCAGGATACCTAAATGGACAAAAACCAACCATGTCCCAAAGAAGATGATCGGGCACTCAACCATCAACACCAATCCAAAAGAAATTTTCTTCACCAGTATTACACCAACCATGAAATCCCAAAAGAAACCGAACAAACTGGCACCAAAGTATAGCTGCAAAAGCATAAAAGAGGAGTGATAGCAAAGAGTTACAAACCAAGCTATGCTGCACCTTTGCTCAAAAATAAAATCCCAAGATCATCAAACTTAAATTATAAGCTGAATTGCTATTTCCTGATTCATGCTTCACTTTCATAAGAAAGATATTGTGGATCTTGGATGTAATTTCCATGTTTACCTAATAAAATGACATCTCTGAGGAAATGTTTACCCAGCATCATTGTGACGCTTTTTTAAACAGCAAGTAGCACCGGCAGAAAATGAAGCACATTATGTTATACTATGACACATCCACACCAAGCCAAACTCCAAAGTCAAACCCATCAAGAAGTGAAACACTAAAATCTTTCCAGAAGCAAAGTCCAAGAATAAGAATTAATATTTACTTATCAACCAACAGGCCATTACTGTCCTAAATTTAACTAATGCCAGGTGTTCAATCCCCTCCTTTCTCCCATCCCCTCTCCCTATCCACATTACCAACATAAGAAACTTTTGGATTCTTAATTGAAAATTTGCTTCTGATGTTTTTGTCATTAAGAATGCTGCTGTTTAATGATATATTTGGTAAAAGTATCAGAGTAAAGGCAAGTCTTATCAAACAAGACAAGCATGACAGAAATGAAATAAATCAATGCAAGTGTAATGGTTAATAGAAACTAAAGAGGAATAAAGGAAATACACTTACGAGTTGCAGGGGTTACCTTAGGTCAATGACAAAGCAATAGAACCAGTTGAGATGGTAAGTATTGTGCAAGAAAAAATTGAAGCATTTAAATTTATCAAGATCGATGTTTTTGTTCACAATGTATCATTCGGAGGTGCTCAAGTTTGTTCTGAGGTATCCCAAGAAACAGTACCATGGTTTAAGTGCATGAAATATTACTTAGAGGAGTGCAATAATATCACATAACTCTTACAATAAACAATTAGCATCTGAACTTCCAAAAGCCAAAACTTTAGTAGACCTCAATAACTCGGAAGCAGTTTCACTTTATTATAACAAACTTTTTTACTGCAAACGGTCCTGATAAAAAAATTTAAAAAGATAAAGAACTAACTACCAATAGCTCACAATGTCTCTAATGGAAGATTCCTTCAAGAATTGACCAACAAAACCTTTGAATATGCAAAAGATGACATTTATATTCTTGACACAGAACCGTTATTTTCCTCAAAATGAGAATAAACAAGTCATATTTTTACCATTCTAGCAAGCAAGAAAGTCTACAGTTATTATGAATTCAGATGCTCCGGTTTACAGCAAAACATAGATTACACCTATATTCTCGCTAATGTACATGGCATACTTGCACTGAAGATGGTCCTCTAGATTATTTTGCAACTAAAGACCAAATATAATACAGAGATGACACTAAGAACATTATTGTAAAGAAACATGTCCACTTTTTCTTCAATTTCCAAAAATTAAAAAAAAAAAAGATAGCTTCTTCTATGTTCACAGATCGCTTGCCACTGTTGGCAGCATCACAAGTTATTCTATGATATGAAGTTAGTTAATGGGGGGAAGCAGTTTCATGATTAACCTCCACTAATTTCAGGTGAAAATGCCAACCAAAGTAACAACAATTAAAGCATAACAATCATGTTTATACATAAGCTTTAAAGACAACTATAATCAAAAATCAAGTTTCAAGTCCTGATTCATCTAATCTCACCTTTTCTCATGTCATACCTGCTATACAATGTAATTGTCTTTTGATGGCTTTGAAGAAGAATGCTTGATGGCACAATGACCATCATGACAAGAAGTCTGACAACAGCAGGCTTTCAGATGAGGTAATTTGTCTCGCTGCTGTGATGAAATACAACAGATCCAACTGCTGAATTGCTCACCAGCAGATAAAAGTAGGGGCAGGGAGGAGAGAAAGATGGGTTGAGTAATTTTGTTGTATTAAGTCACATTAAAATTATAAAAAGAAAACAAATGCAGGGTCATGTGACAAATAAGAAGGAAACATAGAAAAATCAGGAAATAGATGAACATAAAGAACATGCTAAGAAAACCCAGCATTATTTTTTTGCATTTTAAATTTATCTTTTATCTAAGGAACAGATACTCCTTAAAACAAAATTACATGCAACTCAGACACTTTTTGTTAATTAGGATTCTGAAAAGAAAGGGAGAAAAATCACTAATCAGCCTATAGTAGGCACCCAAAAAAGCCTGCAGGTTGCATTTTGTAAGAGTTTGGTTCCAAATGAAAAACTATCAATAGGTCTCTTGAACCAAGCTCAAATCAAAATAAAGCTGGTCAAGAAGGGTGATAAAGTATCTTCTTCCTCCTCATAACTGGTATGTGTTAGAATTTACATTACTTGTTCTTTCATTGTTTCGACTGAAATTTTAGTGAATTAAGTATGTTAAATTGAATCCTCCCCCTTTATTTTGTCCCCCTTTTTTACCTTTCATCAACTCTCTTCTCAAATTCTTAAGCCTACCACCCTTTAGGTTGTTCTAAATCACTACCCTTGAATTGATTAAATCAACCACTACCATTGAGTTCATAAAAACTATGAACCCACATCCAATCCAAGTCTATTTCCCAAAGAAAACTATTTCACCTTTGGCTATTGAGTAATGCTAAGAGCAAACAGCCTGGTAAGCCAAGCTTCTCTATCTTTGCCTTCAAATACTATCAATCCTTTCTAGGTAGATTGCCTAGGCAACATTCATGCTCAATAGATGTAGGAATGTCCTCTGCAAGAACTATTTGCCTTTCAGGTTAATTATGCACCATGTCTGACTTTCCATTGTAGAAACATATAACAATTGGTCTTGTGAAACATCCAAGTTCTGCTTCAATTTCTAAAGAAACATGGTACAACTAAGAACAATGGTCAAATGTGTGATCCTAGACCACTTCCTTCAGCCGAACCATGTGTTTAGGTACCGACAGCTCTTCATGGAATATAAATGTTCTTGTTGCCAGCTCATGAATCTTATCGGTTGAGGCTTCAATTAACCAATCCTCTTCGACAATTTACCAAACCTTAGACATAATTATCCATCATAACAAAAAAGAAATGTCTACCACATCAAATTCTTCTACTCTGTCCGAATAACGTTCTCTTAAGTCTTACCCTTTCTTCTGTTATCATCCTGTTGCTTTGTTACCATGTATATGTCCTTAAGTTGGTCCCATTCCTTTATGGATCTGGGCAATTTAGTTGGCACAAAATATTACCTCTGGTGAACCCTTACACTAGTTCAGCAAATTGATTCCAGGATCATTGGTTTTATCCTGAATTGGTCCAATCAGCTCGAGAAGTTTAGCACAGTATGGGAACAACTCATTGACACTTCAGATGTTAATTGTTAGATGGCTTCTTCAATGAAGGTGGACGGTGATATTATTTATAAGAGATTCACCTCTCCATATGGCTGCCAAAAATGGAGGAGGTACTCAGTTATTCTTTTTTTAAAGAGAAAAAAGCAAATAAAACAGGGTTAAGAACACAATAAAAAAACATGCATGCACTACTGATCAGCATGTCAACATCAAGGATTTTTGTATATGTCATGGTACACAATGAAGGCAGATTTAGAAAAATATAATCATCTTCAGAAGGCTAGATTTCAGTAATGTCATAAAAAAACTACATTTTAGTAATCTTTAGGCATAAATTTTATATATGACAATAAGTAGCTCCTGATGATCTTTGTCTGATGTTTCCATATATGATACATGATTAGCCAGAGCTAGACTATTAGAGTTTCTTTTCACAAGTAATCAAAGATGAAAATAGAAAGTTGGAAATTTTGGTGAAATTCAAAATTCATAAATAGAACATTTAGGGGATTTTATCTAGAAAATTGAGTAGTTTTTCTTGAACTTTCTGTTGTAGTTTCAAAAGTTGAGGAAAATAACAAGCTTTAAGTATTTTTTATTTTAAATTTTAATTTTTCCCCAAATTTAGGTTCCTTTAATATTTTAATTATTTTTATCTCAAATCTGATGTTTTTATTACACATTGTCCAATTTGACCAACCTAATGCAACACAAATCTTTATATCCTTGAGCATTCAATCCAGTAAAAGACTTGGTTCAAATTTCATGGACCTTTCTAACAGCAATAAAAAGTTCCATTCACTCTTCATTATATGGTTTCGCATGCCAATTCTTTGAACACTAGTCGTCCACTTCTTTACAAAATTTTCATACTTGTGTCGTCTCATTCTCACTTCCTTTCCCTGGAAAGCCAAGAGGCAACCTCTAGAATTTCTAATTTATCTTGATAAAATATACTAGAAATCGAACTTAGATGTGTTACAAGGATCTACCAACTGCAAGCCAATCTAGCACTAAACATAAGATTAGTGGGAAAAAGAACATCTGGAAATATAATGAGATAAAACATCAACTGATAATGATACTTCAGCAACATTAGCTACATAGAGCACAATTAAGTTAATCAATGTTAACCTCCATCATCAAACAATAGACTATTGAATTAGATGAAAGCCTCTCCTCAAACAGGCAAACAGAAGTTACTGAACAAGGTACAAAACAACCATTCTCACAAGGTAAGGACAAAGTTAATGGCAGGAATTTAAAGCAGCAGACAACAAAAGCAGAACACAACTTTGTGACATGTGGTTTAGATACTGGACACAGCAACTGATAGTTGATACATCAATGTGCTATTTATTGTCTAAAATCCTAGATGTTTGAAATCCAGATACTGGCTGGAGGATAAGTAATAAGCAGCCTTACTTAAATTGCCACAACACAGTTAAAGGTTCAAAAGAACTTCTCGTAATCTTGTGTTGGCTGGTCCCAGACCTCCATGAATCCTACAAGTGAAAAATATTGTTAAAATTATAAAACAAAATGTTGTGTAGCAAACATTTAAAACAAACTTGGAAAACTATCTAATATTCTTCAATATCCAAACTTAATCATTCATGTAAAGCAATTTGCAATGAATACAACCACACATCAGATGAATCCTCAAGCAAAAAGAGAGAGAATAAATAATAAAGTACAACAGTAAATACACTCCGTTTTCACTAGCTTATTACCGTAACAAGTATTTCGAAACCATTATGAATTGAGCTTGGAAATGTTTGTGCCAATATGCAAATTCAGCCTAACCCAATTCAGATGATCTGGCATACCTAGTGTTATGATGTGAACATACTTGGACATGTTTTTGGCATGGCTTATCTTTACAACATTTGACATAGGTTTTCAAATGACAAGAATTTTGAAAATTGCCTAGTATACGAGACTCTATACCGAGGTTGGGTCTAGGGACCCCTCAAGCTGCTATTTTCATGAAACGTGGTCACCTGGTTGTGAAAAGAGCAACCTCACTGTAATCCATGACCCAACCTCACAATTGATTCCTACTAAGATACTGTACACAGATAGTGAACCAGAATTTGACAGCACTTAGTTGCACTCGTGTTAGTCTTGCATGTATTTAGTTAACATATGGGTTGTTTATGTACATGTACTAAAAGACTATTGCGAAGGAAAAGACTCTCCAGTTGAACTGCCCGCATCGACTATGTAACTGGCTAAGTCAAGGTGGGTTTCAGCTCCAATCATGACTATCCTACATGATTGGCCATTTGGACAGCCTCGTGCTGCTGTGTGTCGCTACAAGATGCATGTGACAAGGCTTACTTTCACTCAGATGGTAGGAAGATTAATATGCATGGCAGGCATTTGAGGTGTTCCAAGGTCAACCAGGATTTCTAGATGGATTAGGCAAGGCTCAAGATACAATTTCAGCACCTGGCACTTTCATATTTGGATTTGAAAGTGGAATCTAGCCCCAAGTCCCACTTAGCACTGGAACTGAGATGAAGGAAGACATAGGGGACTACTTCTCATTCCAAGTTTTTTCCCTAGCTTTTGTGTTGTACCAAAATGTTAGCTCTAATCTTATCTACTAAATTTAAATGGCTTTGCCTTCTATTTCATGAAAAGAAAAATCTCATGAACATCCAACAGTAGTAATAACTTTGAATTTTAATATGTTAAAAAACTTTCAAAATTCAAATGATTGCAAAAATAAAAAGTTAACTGCTAAGAAAAGACTAATTTTGTGGGGGGGGGGGAACAAAAAATAGCAGTGAATTAATTGCACTAATCAAAGTTAACTTCTGAAAAATGATAATTTGTATAGAAAACAACAAAAACTGCAGCAAATAATACAAACCTATATCTCCAAGAGATCCATATATTGAATCATCAACACCAGGAAACCCCTAAAAACAGACAAAAAAGAAAAAAAAAATAGCAGATTTATATTTGTAACAGGATTATATGAAAGAACAGAAAGATTTTCTTCAAGAGACTAACTAGCAGAAGAAGAATTTAATCTGAAGAACAGGATTTCTGTTAACAAGCCATGCATATACCTCAGCACCATGAAGATCAATTCCAACTTGAAGGTTATTAAGGTCTGCTTGTACTGATGGGCTGCATGACATATCAGCTCCCAGGTAGTCAGAAATGGCTAGACTGTAGCTGTCCTGAATGACAGGAAGGTCATCTGAATGTGTTGTGTGGTTCATAACATTCTCTACAGGATATATCAATTCGTTCCTGCTTTATTACCACATCAGGAATAACTCATCTAGTGAGGGAAGAGCACAAATATTAAGGTCTAATAAATTCAAGAACAAATGGCATAGAAATATCAAACATTCCACAAATTGACCAGCTATACGAAAAAAACTTACTTGGCCTTCGAAGGATTACAGGCATTCACTTCAATTGGAGAATCGTCTTCCAAATCAATTACTGGAATCACTTTGTCATCACCTGAAAGACGGTTGAAGTCATAAGTAACTTTGGCCTTGCTATTTATCGACAGGCCAAAATCAACCGAAAGTTGTTTCTCAGTTTCCAGAGGAGGAGCTGAAATATTACAATCATTCAAAAGAGGATCACTGGGAATCTCAGTCATCTCAGGAGCTTCCATTAGGTTCAGATCACAGATTTTAAATGAAGTTGGTTGGTTTTGCTTTACATCTTCCATCTCCATGAATGATTGAGCTTCAACTTTTGGAGGTAAATTGGCAGTGACTTGTTTCAATTGATCGATTGCCTCCATTTCTTCACTCTGAGGTGGCATCTCCATGAACAGGCTAGCCTGAGTTTGTCTAGAGCCATCAAGCTGAGAGAATTGATTTTGCTGAGATGCAGTAGGCGAAGATGAGTTAATTTGTTTCTCAAGTTCCTCCTCTTGACTCACATGATTAGCAAACTTATCCTCCTTCCCTACGTCTACCATCATAGCAGATGATGTTGAACGCAGGAGGTTCATCTGTGGCTCACAGGGAGACTCTATTGTTTCTTTAGAGGATTTGATATCAACATCACCAGAATTAGCTTGTTCTTCACATTTCAAATGGTCAGAGTGATCCACATGCGATTCTTTTAAGAAGCCATCAGTTGGAACATCATCTATAACCATCTCAAAATCTCCTTTAGGAACAACTTCAATCTTGTTTCCACCATCAGTACTGAGGCAATGGTCATCTGTAGGACCTTTATGTGACAGTGATGACCGCGGTCGCGTTGGCACTTTTGGAAAACCACTGAGCTTCAATAGATCACTGCCATCATTGCTGACAGAGGAGACGCCTTCCTCGACTCCATCAGGCTTCACGGTTGAGTACTCTTCCGTGGAAATCTTTTTCTCTAACTCATCATGCTTACCACTCTTAACTCCTCCAGCTTCTGAATTTGAAGCCAACACTTCATCTGCCCCTTTGTTCTCATCGGCATCCACTTCCGCGGGAACATCCTTCCTGGTACTGTTTGAGCTCGCCTTCGATCCAGCATCATCAAGCTCTGAACCCGATTCACCCACCACTTCTCCCTTCGAGTGCTGTTCATTTTCAGCGATACTGCTTCCCACTTCCTCGTACCCACTTAGCCGATCTCTACGATACCCAGGGGCAAAGTCATCGTTGTCCTCTTCCATACTATCAGAATAGTCTCTGCTTCGTTCGTTCCACGGCCCATTTCTTTTCCTCTCTCTACTCCAATCCGGACCATCATACCCTCTGTTATAGAACCCTGATCTTTTCCTGCCTCTACCATTCTTCCTTGACCCCATTCGATCGTAGTCGTCGTTGAATCTTTTCCTTCCATACCCAACATCGGAACCCGCGTCCCCCAGCCGGGCAAGGGCCGAGGTCCTGCCTACGCTAAACGGCGGAGGAGCAGATGGGTTCTCCCGGCCCTGGCCTCTGAATTCTTGAACGCCGCTCTTGGACATGGTACTGGGGAGCGAGCTCGCGGGAAGCACGCCCTTGGACACCAGGTACTCGGCCGCAAGCCGGCCAGCCTCCATTAGGATCTCCATTTTGCTTGCAGGAGGGCTTTGGGGCTTCGAGTAACTGCGGCTGAAGCCGCCACGAGTACGATTACGACCGAACGGCGAACCCGGCCGGAAACCATCCCTGGGGTTCCGATACTTGGGCTGCATTTTTCTCGGTTCTTGTACCAATCACTTGCAGAACAAATAAGAAAGTGATGGATCGATCTCCCAATGATGAGCTCCGAGCTCTTAAACAATTAGGGCTCGAGAAAAGCCCTAGTTCGCAGAACGAATCAACCGTCGCTGGGCTCCAATCCGAAGGACTCACCGATTTGGTTGGATCAAAAACCCAAATAGACGCCGAAAACCCATGAATCCCGCGTAGAACCGCTCAAGATTCAGCTGGATGGTCCGGGGAAAAGGTCAAAAAGCCCTAAAATTCGACCTCCGATCGTTCCGAGTCCGGTCTCCGATCGAAGCCCCACCAATATCGAATGAACCGAGGAAGGGAGTTAGCATACGCCTCGGGAGAGGATAAGTAATCCTAGGCCGACGAGGTGTCATGACAAAACTCTCTTACTCTTTCCGTCCAACGCGTTCGATTACCTGCCTTATAATTGGACAAGTAAAAGTGAGCATCGTGAGAGAGCGAGAACAACTCAACGACCTACAGGTTTTTCTGGCGCAGATACGTATCAAAGAAGGGTGGAAAGCATACGCAAAGACCGTTTCATACCACACGTCATGTCAACAACAACAACAACAAAAGAAAATTCGCCTTATTTGGATTTTTTTTATAGTCGTTTTTGTGTTTCCGTGTCATAAAATCAATTTCTAAATAAAGATAAACTCTATTTAATCTCGGTTGAGTTGATTGGATCGTCAATTTTGTTAAGTTGAAATCACTGTTTAAAATTTTAAATTAAAATTTAATTTTTATAAATTATATTAATTTTATATCTAAGATGAGTTGAGATATTATAAATTCTACATAATCTAATCATGACATGTATGTGAGGTATAATATTATGTCGTGACGAGTTGTCTGACTTCGATATAATTAATTATATAATTATTAAAATATTTTAATAAAAATATATTATATCATTTAAAATTTTCTAATATGGTAAGAAAAAGCCTTGTAGAAGTGCATATCTCGATGATTCACATACATTTGCTTAAGCAGAAATGGATCATTAACACCATATATAATAACATAACATAAGTCTTCCTTTTTAATCTCACTGACGAAATCATCATGATTTAGTTTATATTATAAGTCCCCTCGTCCAACTAACTCCCGGTTTATATCCAGCAAGCTATAGTAAAATTCAAGATAACCCTTCGTGGATATTATAAAAACAAAATCAAAAGAAAAAGAAAACAAATTGGAATAAGAAATTGATTCGATGAGAAATATTTCCACCTTGTGATACAAGAAGTTGCAATGACCATATAGGATTACAGTTCGGATGATGCTAAGGCCATTGACTAATCGTGGACTCTCCTGCAAATGCAGAATTAGACCGTAATAAGATATTATTTTTATCTCGGTTGATCGACGATCGACCTCTAGCACCATTACAAACATAGACCCTCAGGACATGGACTAGACACCATGTCGGATACACCCCTACAGATTCTGTACAAGAGTTGCCTTCCTCCTACACCGAGCCAAAGCCCGTATAGGGAGGCATCCTCTCAGCAACTCCCGTTCCAAAAAGCTCGAGACAACGTCGCATAGTATCATTTCACGTATATCGAGCGACGATCACACGAAGGTACGAACTTACCGGGGGGGTCGGTCGCCATGCCAAATCCATATACGATCGATCGTTGGTCAACAGTATAAAAGCCCCTTACCGACATCTGACCGGAGAGGAGAGAAAACAAATGACAAACCATTAACTTAATCTACGAGGGACCCAAGTTGGGAATCCCCTACCCGAGTTTATGTGCAAGAACGTGGCCACTCCCAAGCCAGCTCAATCCCATGTTAGAGATGCGGCCACCCCGACATCTGATCCAGCCCGACCTTGGTATCTCCAATCGATCGAGACACACTCTCGAACCTCAACGACTCTGGACATCGAGATCAAGCCGTGCTGATTTTTCGACACGTGAATTCACTAATAGAGACTTAGTTCACTAACAGAAACTTTTCATGTGCTATGAGTAAAAACTACTTATGTGTCTCGTTTCTCATTATGCAGCATTCAAGCCATGTCTTTGATTTCAGAAACTGCGTTTATTGTGAACATGTTCATTCTCCGGTTATATTATTCTCTTTCGATGAGATCCGATAATGTGATGATATTGCCAAAAAAGAATATCCCTGAATACCTTTTAATTATATATATATTTAAGAGAAATATTCATTCTAAATGTTGGTGAAGACCATGGCCTCTGTAGCACCAGCAAATTTGGGTCCAACAAAACCAAAGCTTGCACACATTGAGCTGTCCCATACACGGAGCTCTCAGACCATGCAAGTCTTTTAACCATGTCACAGCTCCTTTTACCCAGCCAGATTAGCAGCGCACAGTATGCAGCCTGTTCTTTGACTTCTTTATCAGATGATTCCCCACTTTGTTTCACTTTCTCTGAAACAAGCTGCAGCAATGGAGTCACTGCTTGTACCATAAATTAGATGAGCACAGTTGTTCGGTCGAACAGAGGGGCAGAGACAAGACAAACGAGTTGGATGTCTGTCTGATACTTTTTTGTTGGCCTCTGCTTTATCTCCACCAACACACAAGTAGAACCACTGTTCAGATGAAGACACTTGGAAAGCCACATCCGTCTAATGCTTCTCCGACCAATCTCTCTCTATATTTGAGGTTCTTTTAATGCCACACAACACCAACAAAATTAGATTTCTGTTCCTATTTCACCATTATTTGGTCAGTTGTGTCACCAGAGTCATCTCCATATATAATTACTGACGAAGAAAGCTGCCTATCGAGATAGGTAGCAGCAGAACAATGAATCCACATAAAGAAGCAGAACTTGCAATGATGATGACACCAGAAACCTCTAGACATCACAACACAAAATGCACAAGACAATGAATCCAAGCAAAGAACCATGACATACAGTGATGACACTAAAAACCTGTATATATCACCACGAAACATGGCAATATGGCTTTGGGGCTGAACACAAACAGCTCATCTATGTTGGAGTACGTTCCTGCAGAACCCGCAACCGAGTCGAACTCATCGACGGCATCTTGACTCTTCTTCTTCACCCGCCCCGCGATCACCCTGCAAACCAGCATCGCTCTCTTCTCCTCGTCCGACGAGCTTACGCGAGCCATGTCATGCGCCCTCCCGCTGGTCGCCATGGTTTGGACCTTCCCGGCCTCATCGAGCTTGAACCCGTCTCGGATGATGCTGCACACGTCGCAGCGTTCCATCGACTGACACAGATTGGTGGAGCCGTTGAAGCCGAGGGAACACGCGAGGGTGGTGCAGTGGAACCTCAGGAGCTCGTTCCCATCGGCGACGCACCTCGGATGCTTTTTGGCGAGCTTGTTGTCGGCTTTGGTCTTGATGGAGTCTCTGTAGTCTTCGAACCTTGTGATGGCCTTCGGGGTGTTGTGGACCTTCAGGATCCTGTCTATCTTGCAAACTGGAGTTTGATTCTTGAGCCAGCTCGACTGGAAAATGATCTCGATGATGTTTCTGCTGGTGTCCTCAGGACCCAATTCTGATACTGTTGCAGAGAATGGAGAACGCAGAGGTCATACATCGTAGAGATCTGTGAGGAAAGGTGTAATGGAATGTAAAGAAGAGAGTTTTTACCTGCATGTCTGACCGCCTGGTGAAGCTCCAAAGACTCAGGCCTCACAAATATCTCCCCGCAGTGCGGGCAAGAACAGATTGAAACCCTCATGGAAGGATCCCTGGATGGTCCATTAATGGGATCAACCATCACATGACACTCGTAGCACCCAGAAAGCCTCCTGAGGTGCATTCCAGTAAGAGATCCTCCGACAGAAGAAGATGATGATGATGAAGAAGACGCAGTAGCAGAGGCAACGATAGAGGCGGATGAATAAGAAGCGAAGGAAGTGGATATATCCCCACTGACATCCTTGCAAGGAGATCTCAGGGATCTGCTAGAAGTATTACAAGGATTCACTGCAGCGGCTGTGGTTGCTTCCTGACTCGTCTCACTCGTGCTGTCCCTCTTCTTGCCTTTCTTCCTCCCTCGTGCATCTCTCTGATCCTTACACGAGAATAAGTTTCTCAGGGCTCTCCAAGCAGGTGACTTCTTGGCTCTCCTCTGTTCTTGCTTCTTGCTTCTGTTGCTTCTCTCGAGCTTCCTCCTGGCCTCACCTGTCTCTGCCATCGCACAAGGGGCTTGGTTTCTTGTGGTTTCTCCCATGGAGAAGAGGCCTGAAGTGGTTCTACTCCCTTGGGATCAGATGGTATTTGTATTTTAGAGGGAAGTGTTGCTTGTATCGATCAAAATGCATACCTTGTGATGCTGCTTGCTGTGACAACTCTACCGGCAAAAGGAACAGTAGAATGTGAGGACTGAGACCAGGAAATGATGGTCATTGGTCATGAGCCATGATAGCCTTCTTTTCTGCAAAGAAAGGGATCATGTGCTCACCTATTGCTGCATTAAACATGGATAGCAACAAAAGATCTACAGTAAGCTTTTCTTCCTCAGAACTACTGTTTCTGCATCAGGACAGGCCATGGTTATCGTTCATCGATCACTCAGATTTAGCTCAATGAGCCCCCAAATCTTGCCTTCGAACAAGCAAAAGCAGCCCACGGTTTAAATCCAGAACGGCTAGTAAATTTGAATAGAGTGAGATGTGGTATTGTGCTGTCACCAAAGAGTAAGAAGTACACTTGTTGGGTTGTCATGCGGGGAAGATGGGAAGAGAGACCCAACTCCCAGCTGCCCCTTTGGCATGACTCCATTAACATTATGTCGTGCTCACCAGAGGACACAGCAGTCTCTGAACCCATTTATAGGACAGAGGCATGTGGTCATCAGTCATGGTAAGGGAGATGAATGCGATCCCGGAGGTAGGGGATGAACATCGATGACAGAAACGTAATGGATAAGAGTTCAGTAAGGTCACCCGCAACGCGAGAATGCATCAGAAACATGTGAATAGCTGAGAACAGGAACCGAAGGACATGGAAGTTCATCATCTGACAACAACAGGGTTGTCTTCCACCTTGGAAACCTTCATGGACTCCGGAAAACAGATGAAAGATGCAGATTACTGGAAGCAAATGAGTAAAAATTCTAGACGAGTAAAAATTCACAACTCAACTATGGTTTTACAACAGCGGTATATTAGTCGCACTTCATTTAGTCTGACATAAAAAATGAGTAATGACTATGATTTGACTTGCATGAGCTTGATGAATACATTATGATAATTTTAATTTAAATATTTTAATTAATGATTTAGATTAAACGAAATTATTAGTTAATTAACTCATTAAACTCGTGGATTGGATTCAAAGAACTCATGGGAGCTACGAGTTATATTGCTTAAACATTTTAATCACTGATTTAGATCAAACAAAATTATTGACCAGTTAACTCACTCGGGATAGACAATT